GCTAAGTAGAGTGGGAGAGAACTCAGAACGCAGTCTGTCACGCATATACATGATTCCTTCATTTATTCATTCAAGCACTGATCCAGCGCATATATACATCCATGTGCTGGATATGCCATACGTACTCGTTTCTTATTGCTGCTGTAACAAATGTCCACAAGCTCAGTGCATTAAAACAACAGTTTTTAAAATGATCTTACAGGGCGCCTGGGTGGCTCAGCTGGTTCAGCGACTGCCTTCGGCTCAGGTCATGATCCTGGAGTCCCGGGATCGAGTCCTGCATCAGGCTCCCTGGTCGGCGGGGGGGGGTCTGCTTCTCCCTCTGACCTTCTTCCCTCTCCTGCTCTCTATCTCTCATTCTCTCTCTCTCAAATAAATAAATAAAATCTTTTAAAAAATTAAAATGATCTTACAGTTCTGTAGGTCATAGATCTGAAATGGGTCTCGTGGGGCTGGAACCAAGATGGCAGCAGGCTCGGTGCCTGCCGCGATTTGCTTCTGTTGGATTCACATCTTCCTACAGGCAACCCCGGACACCTGCATGTTCTGGCTGGACCCTTAGTGGCCATCATCTTCCTCGCTGTCCTTCTTTTCTTCCTCACTCGTCAGTGGTGCCCTGCCAAAGAGAGTGAGTCTCGGGAAGAAGAGGCCAGTGCCTGTCTGGGAGGAGTGGGGGAGCCAGGGAGCCTCCGTTTGCAGGCTGACTCCTGGTTCAAAGCAGGAGCCACAGAGGTTGGGCTTTCTAGAGAGAACCCCCATGCCCCCATCCTCATCAATGGAATGGAAAGAGGGAGACATTAATGGGATGTGTCTCTGAACTTCAGAGAGGTAGAATTTCTGACTCTACTTTTTGGCAGCAATTCCAGGCATTGGCTGCACCTGTCTGTGCTCTGGTATCTGTATCTATAAGATGAGAACCTTTGAAGTGTTTTTGATGACTTCTATTCCCTACAGATGCTGCTATAATGAACAGAGAGCCTGAGGTGGACAGAATGGTGAGCAGGGAGGTAGGTTGTCCTCAGCTCACTCTCTTCAGTGCCATCTCATTTCCTCCGAGTCCCCACAAGTGTGTGCACACCCTCCTCACCATTTCCCATCATGCAGGACCCTCAAGCAGAAGACCCACAGGAGGTGATATACACACAGTTGGATCATTGCATTTTTATGCAGGAAAAAACCATTCCCACTTCCTGGAGGCCCAAGGAACCCTTGCATGATGACGGTGTGTACATGGAACTCGCAACATGCTAAGACCAATCAAGGCATGAATTCTATGCCCCAAGCACACACAGGAAGACCCTGAGGAGGCTCTCCACAGATGCCATAGCTCTTTCTGAAACCCCTCCTAACAACAGCTAGAATCTGAAGACAGAAGTCTTCATCTTCCTCTCACCCTAAGATGAGATAAATATCTCAGGACCCCCTAGAAAGCCCCCAATCCATTCTAGGAGGCTATTATGATGATACAGACATTTCCAATATTGTCCACAAAATCACCTTTTCTTTTCAAGGGTAAGTTCTGACTTGTGTTGCTATGTTACTACAAACAAATAAACAAAATTATCATCTATCATCAATCATCTTTCTTCCCAGCTATTGTTGATTTTCATCTACATGGAATCACATAGTATGTATTTCTGTGACTGACTCCTTTCATTCAACATTGTATGTTTGAAATTTAATCCTATCTTTGCATGTAAGAGAAGTGTTTTCCCTCCTGTGTAGGAATCCACTGTGTGACTATGTCACAATTATGTATCTAGTTGTGTTGAGTCTCCCAAATTCTGATGTCTTAATTTCTTGCATTCTTTCATCCTTCTAGAGTCATCCAGATAGATTTGCCCATTCCTATTGGAATCTGGGAAGCCTTGCTGGGGCAGGTCCAGACATCCTCAAGTGAGAGACCCCTGGAAGTTCTGGTTGGTTGCCAGAGAGCACCTGGCTGGTGTCCCCAGCATGGGGACTGGCTCTCTTCCACCACCTTTGCAGCTACCACTTCAGGGCACATTAGGGGGCCCCAGGCACACCATGTCTCAACTCAGTACAGATGATTGCCCCCAAGGCTCCAACAAGGAGATCCCATAGGAGCAGGTGGATCTATCTGAGTGATTCTGGAAAAACAAAACAGTGTAAGAAATTAAGACATCTGAGTTGGGGAGACTCATCAGAACTATAGGTCTAGCAATATTTTGGATGCAAAATTAGCATCAAAGTTAGTGAACATCATTGTTAGTGAACAACAGTGAAAATGATAGGTGTCTGTGTGGCAATGACAGGAATTCACACCTTTGAGCACCTGTTTAATGAAATGTGTTTTACAAATGTTTCCTTGATGAGTCCTTATGTAAAATTTATCAGAGCTCCTTGTTATCTCCATTTTGCAAAGTAGGGAAATTCAAAGAAATTGTCTTGTCAAAGGCCACACAACATGGCATGGTTGTTGACCATCATGGGGCCCCAAAGAGAAGACTCTTGAGCCCATCCACTATCTGTTGAACCATCCCCTGTAAACAAATGTCACACCTTGGGCTTAGGGGATTGTTCCAGATTTGGACTTGAAGACACGCTTGGGTTTTGGAACCAGGTGAGGCCTTGGGCTTGGCTCAAAAAATTTCCAAGAAGTCAGATATTTTTGTTCAGCTCACATTGTGGGAAAACCAGAGCTATGATTAAGAAAGGAAGTTTTCAGCTTCCTCTCTTGTCATCAGTTTGTAGAGTGACCTGAACAGTGATGACAGGGACTGACAGACTGCACCCAGTGCATGGATCAGCTCTGTGGGGCTCCTGGTTTCTGCACAACAGAGGTGTACAATAACCAGGGAAGGAAAACAAGCATATTAGATCTTACTGAGATCTGCAAAAGGAAGCATTGTGGAGTTACCTGGAATTCCCCAGACATCAGGGCATGGACCCATAACTATCACATGGACAAATGAGGTTTTCTGCAACCCCAGCCTAGATGTGGCTTTTTGAACACAAGGTTTCAGCATGGATGCTAGGGTTAAGGCAAGAGTTTGGAAGAGAGGTTAAGTTTCCATGTGGCTTCTCTTAGAGTGTTATGAATGAATATGAGAAGGTGAGTTGCTCCCCCAGACTACAACATCTTCCTTCTTGGTGGAGAAGCAAGAGGTTCCTCCAGAGTAGCTGGGAGGAAAAAATAGGGTGTTTAGGATAAGGTTGATTCTGGGAGGAACTTGTTGAGAACTCAGGGAACAGCAGATTAAAGGAACACTTTGAGGGTTTGTGCCTAGAAATGTGCTCTAGAGACCTTCCCATTGGACGATTCTATGTCCTGTGACCCTAAGTGGGGCCTACATCCTGTAGAACTTAAATGCCTCAAGGAAGGGACATGAGATGCTGTTGGATGCATGAAGCTCAGTCATGTCTCAGAACAAGGTCTAGTTCCTCAGCCCGTATGTGCCAGCAGACAGCACAGGACGCTGGTTCTCAGCTGGGGCAACGTTGCCCACCAGGAGTCATTATGGTAATGTCTGGAGACATTTTTAGTTGTCATGACTGTGGAGGGGGCTGCTACTGACATCTACTATGCAGAGGCCAGAAATGTTGCTCAACATCCTTCAGTGTCCAGGATGGACTCCTCCACACACACAGGCAGCAGAGAATCATTATCCAGCCCTAAATGTCAATAGTGCTAAATTGAAAAAACCCTTGTCTAGGATACACTGCTGGTCACCATTTCAAAACACTAGCAGCTGGAAAATATGACATATCCTAAGGTAAGCTCATTTTTTACAATAACAAAGGCATATTTTATTAGACAGTGATAGATATATATTATAGCTATATTAACTATATATATATATATAGTGACATTTCCATTTATTCTCTGACATACAATATAAAATATTCACATATCAGAATATATGATATAAGATATAAGAATATAAATATATAAAATATAAGAAAAGCAACTTTCACCATTTCTCAAAATAGATCCCTCAGGTCTTTTCAAGTCAACCCTTCCCTCAAGGGTAAGTCACTATGTTACTACAAGCAAATAGACAAATCCACCATCTATCTATCATTGGAATGTAACATATTTGTCATGATCATCTTGTCCCAGGGTGAAGTGATCAAGTAACCCTAGCATCTCCCCTGGAGAGTCCAAGTCATGCTGCAGAGGTGGATATTTTTTTGGATGTTTAACAATTAGATTTTGTTTTGCTCCCTCTTAGCTGCAGGATCTTTGGCAAAGTCACTTCTCTTAAAGATTCATTTTCACTATTTTTAAAATCTGACTGTTGGTGGTGCCTTCCAAAAGAGGTGAGAAGCTCAGGATTTTAGGCATTTGGTGTATTGGAAGGCAAGAGTATGTAGGTATGTATTATAATGAAAATGTGATAAGTGTTAGAGAATTTGATTTGGAATATTTGACTTCCCATCCCATCTTACAGCTAAATATCTATCTATCTATCTATCCAGTATCTGTATCTAGATATATAGATTGGTATAGGTATAGGACTTTCTTTCCCTACAGATGATGAGTAGCTCCTGAGAAAATTCCTTGGCATGCTGGCATAAAGAAAATCCCCAGTGCAAGAGTATATTGTCTTCCTTATCAAGACCAAGTGGATATACTTAGTCCCTGAATTCCAGAGAAGATACATGGGTACATAACAGGCAAGGACACATGACTTTTGACTAAACAGTCCAATGAAGACAAATCTCTGTCTGTATGGCACCATCTTATACTCTGTCCCAGGCCCTTCCACTTGGATGTGGGTTCCGGTTTAAAGAAGGATTTGAGCCCCATTAGACATCGGTTGAGGAAAACACTCGTTTCTCATAGGAAACATAAGCAGGAAGATTGGTCTCCTCTTGGGCCCAACCCAAGAGCTATCCAGAACTAAGTTCTTGGGAAGGAACCATTACTTGTGGGGCAATAGATGGAGAAATTCTCTGACCAAAGACTCTGACCTCATACTTCCTGCTGATCTATCTAACTGTCTTACGAGGCTCTGTCATTCTGCAAATGTGCACCAACAAGAGACTAACTGGGCTGAGGCTGTATCAGAATCATGGACCCCAGAGACACTATCTTTCTCTGTCTCAGTGAGTTCTTGAATGCAAGTGGGTAAGGGGGGGAAGATGGGGGAGCCCCAAAACAGTCAGTGTCCCTCTTACTATGAGGAATCAGGAGATTCTGACCTCCATATTGGAGAGTTGGCCTTTGCCCAGATATCTATAACTGTGTCTTCCCATATCCCAGTAGCCTGTGGGACATGTTCAACCCATGTCATGCTGTGTAGAGATCCATGATGGGTCCAGAGTTCCTGTAGATGAGAGCCTTAGGGCCTGAAATCTAGAAGATAAAACTAAAAGATGAGCCTCAAAGCTATGCTTGCTGTGGAAGAAAAAATGACACCCTGCGTGTCATTAGGCAGGGTGACTTAAAACAAACACTGGAAACTGGAAGACTCATCTCTCATGAATCTCTCTCTTCCAGTGCTCTGTCTGAGCCAGAAGATTCAGGCACAGGAAGGTAAGTGTTCCGGTAACTCTCTCCCAGCCACCTTATACCTTGGTACAGAAGGGTTAGAAGAACAGTCAAAAGCCCAAGCAAATTCCAATTTTATTCCCCATTCCAGCCATCTCTGCTGTGTTCTTCTCTCCAAAACCCTCAAACACATTGTACTCAGACCTGGATTTAGTGTTTTCTTCCATTAGGCTGTCTGCCCTGATGTCAAAGACACATATTTTACTGAATGTTCACAAATACAGGGGTGAGGAAGTTGGGAGCCATTGGTGATTGCCCAATATCTGTCCCTATGTCAGACCTACTTTTTTTCACAACCTAATTCTCTCCACTCTATCCACTTTGCTTCATCTAATGGGATGTTGCCTTAGTCCCACCCTCTCAAGCAGTCTCTGTAATGGACACCAAGTAGCTCTCAAGTATGAGTGTATATTGTCACCTCCACTCTTGCCTTGTCCATCTGTGTCTTCTCTCTTTCAGATCCTTCTAAAGACTGTAGCCTGGATTACTTGTGTGTTTAAAACACGGGTATCTTCATCTCCCTCGAACCCCTCAGGGGTCAAACTTCAGATAAACATACTGATGTAACCGGTTGTCCCAAGCACTGCCTGCCCAGGCTGCATCCGCCTCCCCAACCCATCTTGCAATCTCCCACTGAACCTCTGCTCCTCACCCATGCTGAACTTACTTTAGTTTGTCCCTTACTTCTTTGTACTTCATTAACCCTTCTCCCATCATCCCTTCTATCCACAATGCCCCCGACCTGCCAGTCCACACTGCCTAGGCAATTGCTACTCATCCTCATGTATCAGTTGAACCCTTACATCTATTATCAGACCTCCAAGATCTATATCTCTATGCTGCAGACTATGTGTCATGAACTGCGATTATATACTTGTGTATTTTTAAAAATTAGTATCTGACATTTCCCACATCATCACTCCCTTAAAGATCTTACACAGGTTGTATAGGTCAGGGTTTCTCAACCTTGGACCTATTGACGTTTGGGAGCAGATAATCCTTTGTTGGGAGGGAAGTCCTGTGCATTGTAAGATCCCTGGCCTTTACCCAGTAGATGCCAACAGTGCCTCCCGTCCCAACCAAAAATGTCCCCAGGGATTGACAAATTGTCCCCTGGGAGGCAAAATTGCCCCCTGTTGAGAACCACTAGTTTAGGTCATGATATTAAATGAACACTGTGTCTGCATTAATGGAGGCATCTCTCCATATACTTTGGAAGAACAAAAGCGTGGATGTATTGGTGAATGAATAATACTGAATAACAGGAAGTCCTGCAATTTTTGGTAAATACAGTCAACATCTTCCATGGCCACAGGTAGTAGGTTGGTCTTCCTTGATGGCATTCCTCCTGAACATGGCAGAGCCCCTTTCATTCCCCCCTCACAGAGCTGCAGTTGAGTACATCACTATCAGATCTAAAATAGATGATACACATCAATAAAGGAACCAGCAGATTGTGAGTTGTTGATGAGGATTGCCATGGCAACAAAATACCACTCTTGGTTGCTAGGGGAGGGGCTGTGGGAAGAAAGAGTGGGAAGTGACCTCTTAGTGTGTACAAAGTCTCCTCTGGGGTGATAAAAATACAAGATAGAGGTGATGGAAAATCTTTAAAAAAAGGGGGGGGCGCCTGGGTGGCTCAGTCGTTAAGCGTCTGCCTTTGGCTCAGGTCATGATCCCAGGGTCCTGGGATTGAGCCCCGCATCGGGCTCCCTGCTTGGCGGGAAGCCTGCTTCTCCCTCTCCCACTCACCCTGCTTGTGTTCCTTCTCTTGCTATGTCTCTATCTGTCAAATAAATAAATAAAATCTTAAAAAAAAAGAGAGGTGATGGTTACACAACATTGTGAATGCATTAAATACCACCGAATCCTACACTTTAAAAATGGTTCATTGTATGCTATGTGAATTACACCTCAAAAAGAAAATAAACATGAAGAGGAAGGAGTTTGGTTCCTCAAAAGGCTAAACATAGAATTATCATATGATCCAGCAGTTCCATTCCTACGTATATAACCAAAGGAATTGAAAGCAGGGACTTGCACAGATACCTGTACACCAATGCTCAGGGCAGCATTATTCACCATAGCCAAAGATGGAAACAACCCAAATATCCATTGGCCTGAGTGGATAATCAAAATGTGGTCTACACAGATGATGGAATGTTATTTGGCCATTCAAACAAAGGGTATTCTGACACATGCCACAACATGCGTGAACCTTACTCAGGGTATTATGCTCAGTGAAATACACCAGACACAGAAGGACAAATATTGTATTATTCCACGGATACGGAGTACCTTGAATAGGCAAATTCATAGACAGAAAGCAGATCAGATATTACTGGTGGCTGAGGAAAGAGGGAGTCGGGAGTTATTGCTTAATGATTATAGAGTTTCTGTCTGGAGTCATGAAAAAATTCTGAAAATAGAGGTCATGTTTGTACAATGTAGTGAATGTAATTAATGCCATTGAACTGTTCACCTAAAAAAAATGGTTAAAAAGGGGGAAGGGTGTCTGGCTGGCTCAGTCGGTAGAGCACATGACTATCAATATCACGGTCATGAGTTCAAGCCCCATGTTGGGTGTGGAGCCTACCTAAAAAAAAAAGAAAAGAAAAAGTTGAAATGCTAAATTTCACATTTTATATATTTTACTACATTTAGAAAATACCAAAAAAAGATTTTAAAAAGGAAAGAATTGCAGGTCCTTCACACCTTAATTTTTAAAAAAAAATTTTATTGTTATGTTAATCACCATACATTACATCATTAGTTTTTGATGTAGTGTTCCATGATTCATTGTTTGTGCATGACACCCAGTGCTCCACGCAGACTGTGCTCTCTTTAATACCCATCACCAGGCTAACCCATCCCCCTACCCTCCTCCCCTCTAGAACCCTCAGTTTGTTTTTCAGAGTCCATCGTCTCTCATGGTTCGTCTCTCCCTCCAACTTACTCCCCTTCATTCTTCCCCTCCTGCTATCCTCTTCTTTTTTTTCTTAACATATATTGCATTATTTCTTTCAGAAGTACAGATCTGTGATTCAACAGTCTTGCACAATACCCTCCCCAGTGTCTATCACCCAGCCACCCCATCCCTCCCACCCCCCACCACTCCAGCAACCCTCAGTTTGTTTCCTGAGATTAAGAATTCCTCATATCAGTGAGGTCATATGATACATGTCTTTCTCTGATTGACTTATTTCACTCAGCATAACACCCTCTAGTTCCATCCACGTCGTTGCAAATGGTAAGATCTCATTCCTTTGGATGGCTGCATGATATTCCTTTGTGTATATATACCACTTCTTCTTTATCCATTCATCTGTCGGTGGACATCTTGGCTCTTTCCACAGTTTGGCTATTGTGGACATTGCTGCTATAAACATCGGGGTGCCCATACCCCTTCAGATCCCTACATTGGTATCTTTGTGGTAAATACCCAGTGCACACCTTAATTTATTTGTATTCTGCCCAGAGAGAAGGAAAGCAGTGTGATTTCTCCATAGCCGACCACCTGAGTCTGGGCTTTATTTTCTTCTAGGGGAATTTCCTGTTCCTCTCATAACTGCCACACCTGGTTCTGTGATTCCCTGGAATGAGTCTGTGAAGATCCTGTGTTGGGGGACTCCTGAGTCTTACTTGTACCAACAGGAAATCCTGGGAAACTCCACATTTGAGGTGGTGAAGAAGAAATTGGGATTTCAGAAGAAGGCTGAATTCCTCACTGAACACATGAATCCAAACACTGCAGGGTGTTATCAGTGCCAGTATAGGAAACAGGACCACTGGTTGGAGCACAGTAAAGCCTCGGAGCTGGTGGTGACAGGTGAGGACACATCCAGGGTCTCCAGCCCTTGGTGTTCTTTCTTTCTTATTTTTTCATAGACTTTACTTTTTCTTTAATTTAATTTAATTTTATTGTGTTATCTTAGTCACCATACAATACATCATTATTTTGGGGGGTTTTTTTTTTTAGCTCTCATTTTCATTTTATTTTTAATTTCCAGCAAATGACCATGATGTGTTTATGGGTTGTTTTCGGTGTTCCAAATTTTTTTAAATTTAATTTTATTATGTTATGTTAGTCACCATACAATAAATCATTAGTTTTTGATGTAGTGATCCACACTTCATTGTTGTCGTATAACACCTAGTGCTCTAGGCAGTATGTGCTCTCCTAAATACCCATCACCAGGCTAGCCCCCTCCCCTCTAAACAAACCCTCAGTTTGTTTCTCAGAGTCCATAGTCTCTCATGGTTCATCTCTCCCTCTGATTTCCCCCTATTTTTCCCTTCCTTCTCCTAATGTCCTCCTTGCTATTCCTTATGTTCCACAAATAAGTGAAACCATGTGATAATTGACTTTCTCTGCTTGACTTATTTCACTTAACATCATCTCCTCCAGTCCCATCCATGTTGATGCAAAAGTTGGGTATTCATCCTTTCTGATGCCTGAGTAATATTCCATTGTATATATGGACCACATCTCCTTTATCCATTCATCTGTTGAAGGGCATCTTGGCTCTTTCCACAACTTGGCTATTGCAGACATTGCTGCTATGAACATTGGGGTGCATGTGGCCCTTCTTTTCACTACCTCTGTGTCTTTGGAGTAAATACCCAGGAGTGCAATTGCTAAGTCATAGGGTAGCTCTATTTTTAATTTTCTGAGGCACCTCCACACTGTCTTCCAAAGTGGCTGTTACCAACTTGCATTCCCACCAACAGTGTAAGAGGGTTCCCTCTTCTCCACAACCTCTCCAACATTTATTATTTCCTGCCTTGTCAATTTTTGACATTTTAACTGGTGTAAAGTGGTATCTCATTGTGGTTTTGATTTGAATTTCCCTGATGGCTAATGATGATGAAGATTTTTTCATGTGTCTGTTAGCCATTTGTATGTCTTCTTCAGAGAAGTGTCTTTTCATATCTTCTGCCCATTTTTGGACTTGATTATTTGTTTTTTGGGTGTTGAGTTTGAGAAGTTCTTTATAGATCTTGGATACCAGCCCTTTATCTGTAGTGCCATTTGCAAATATCTTCTCCCATTCTGTGGGTTGCCTCTTTGTTTTGTTGACTGTTTCCTTTGCTGGGCAAAAGCTTTTTATCTTGATGAAGTCCCAAAAGTTCATTTTCGCTTTTGTTTTGCTAGCTTTTGGAGATGTATCTTGAAAGAAGTTGCTGTGGCCGATGTCAAAGAGGTTACTGCTTATGTTCTCCTCTAGGATTTTGATGGATTCCTGTCTCACATCGAGGTCTTTCATCCATTTTGAGTTTGTCTTTGTGTAGGGTGTTAGAGAATGGTCCAGTTTCATTCTTCTGCACGTGGCTGTCCAATTTTCCCAGCACCATTTATTGAAGAGAGTGTCTTTTTTCCATTACATTTTTTTTCCTGCTTTGTCAAAGATTATTTGTCCATGGAGTTGAGGGTCCATATCTGGGCTCTTTATTCTGTTCCATTGGTCTATATGTCAGTTTTTGTGCCAGTACCATGCTGTCTTGGTGATCACGGCTTTGTAATATAGCTTGAAATTGGGCAATGTGATGCCCCCAGCTTTGTTTTTCTTTTTCAACATTTCCCTGGTGATTCAGGGTCTTTTCTGATTCCACACAAATTTTAAGATTGTTTGTTCCAGCACTTTGAAAAATGTCATTGGAATTTTGATAGGGATGGCATTGAAGGTATAGATTGCTCTGGGTAGCATAGACATTTTAACAATGTTCATTCTTCCAATCCATGAGCATGGAATGTTTTTGCATCTCTTTGTATCTTCTTCAATTTCTTTCATGAGTGTTCTGTAGTTCCTAGAGTATAGATCCTTTACCTCTTTAGTTAGGTTTATTCTGAGGTATCTTATGGTTTTGGGATTGCTGTAAATGGGATCCATTTACCAAAGCATCATTAGTTTTTGATGTAGACTTTACTTTTAGAACAGTTTCGGGTTTCCAGAAAAATTGAGAAGATAGGACAGAACATCCCCATATACCCATCACCCACTCTCCCTTGTTGTTAACATATTCTGTTGGTATGGCACTTTTCTTATCATTAATGAACCAATATGGATAACTTAGCATGTGCCAGAGTGCACAGTTTATTTAGGTCTCCTTAGCTTTTACAACTGTTGATGGGCATGCAGGAGGGCGCCTGATGTGATGAGCACTGGGTGTTATAGGCAACTGATGAATTATTGATCACTACATCTGAAACTAATGATGTACTATATGTTGGCTAATTGAATTTAAATAAAAATTTTAAAAAAGATTTCCTTAGCTTTTACGCAGTGGTCATTCATCTGCTCTAGGATCCCATCCCACACTGCATGCAGTTGTCATTTCTCCCTAGGCTGCTCTTGGCTGTGGCAGTTTTGAGGAGGGCTGGTCAGATACTTTGTAGGATGCCCCACTATTGGAAGTTGTCTGATGTTTCTCTCGTGGTAAGACAGGGTTCCTGGGGTAACTGTGAGGAAGACCACAGAAGCGCAGCGCCATTTTCACCACATCACATTAAGGGTACACACCATACAAGTGAATATGGCTGTTGATGCTGAGCTTGAGTACCTGGCTGAGATAGCATGTGCAGGTTTCTCCTCCTGACCCTTTCTGTATGGATAGAAATCAGTAAATGCAGTCTGTACCTAAGGAGGGGGAGGTTATGCTCCCTGCACAAGTCCGGCCCTAGATTTTAAGCCCTCTGTCCTCAGGGTGGCTTGACCCTGTGTTTCTAGAAGGGTTTGTTTCTGGAAGGGTCCATCCTGAATTTCCAGGTCTTTTCACCTGCTAACATTCTTTTTACATAATGTTGCCTCTCTCAGCCTCTGACATAGCTCCTCAAACTCTTTGGATACTATTCCCCCTTTTCCCCAAATAAAGCTTGTGATATTGTGATTTATAATAAGAACTATATATTTGGTCTTTGTTCCTGTTCCGGGCACAGAGCTCTTAAATCCCTTGGAATTTCCTGAATGACTAAGAATGGTAAAGTGTTTTGATATTCTAACAAACCCCTTCTTCCTACCTTGCCTGAGGTTATGTTAATGAGGTGACTTTTGGACCCCACTTAAGGACCGGGGCTGGTTGCCAGGAGAACCGACCGTGTGAATAAAATGTTTGAACTTTCAGTCCGACCCCACCCCCACCTCCAGGGATGGGTGAGGGGCTGGAGGTGGAATCAATTGGCTAATGGCCAAAGATTTAATCAACCATGCCTAGGTAATGAAGCCTCCATAAGAACCCAAAAGGATGGGGTTCAGAGAGCTTCCAGGTTGTTGAACACGTGGAGGTGCTGGTAGAGAGGCGCACCTGGAGAGGGCACCTGGCCTTATGCATCCCTACCATCTGGCTGTCCCTGATTGTGTTCTTTATAATAAACCAGTGGTCTAGTAAGTAAACTGATCTCCTGAGCCTGTAAGTTGCTCTGGCAAATTAAATGAACCCAAGGAAGGGGTTCACAGCCATTCTGTCAGAAGCACCGGTGACACGAGAGGCTTGTGATTGGCATCTGAAGTGGGCGTGTTCTCAGGACTGAGCCCGTAATCTTTGGGATCTGATGTTATCTCCAGGTAGATAGTGTCAGAATTAAGTTGAATTATGGGATGTGCAGTGGGTGTCTCAGGACTGCTTGGTGGTGTGGCGGGGAACCCCACATGTTGTCATTGGAAACAGAATCATATGGGTCTTATGGCTCTAGAAACAAGATGTCTATATGTTGAAGATGGCATCTCATCCAAGCCGCACAGGCTGCTTGCTTGCTCAGCCCTGTCTGAATAGTTTGGGACAGAGTATGGGTCCTGGGGTAGTGAAATGGGAAGTTCCCAGTTCCCATTCCTTTGGATCAGGGAACATCAGCGTGTTCCCTTCTCTTACCGTGGATCCAATAGGAGTGGTGGGGATAACAGGGAAAGGAAGAAAAATCTTGCTATTAGCTTACTCTCTTCTCTTTTAGGCTTCTACAACAAACCCTTCTTCTCTGTTGACCAGGGCGTTGTGGTGATGCTAGGGAAGAATATCTCCCTGCAGTGCAGTTCAGCACACATCCCATTTGATAGATTTTCACTGATCAAGGAAGGAGGAGCCACCCTGTCACAGAACCAAAATGGCAGACACCAAGGCAACTTCACTCTAGGTCCTGTGAACCAAAGCTTCTCAGGGAACTACAGGTGCTATGGTTGGTACAGCGGCAGCCGTTATGTGTGGTCAGCCCCCATGATGCCCTGGGGCTTGTGGTCACAGGTAGGTGCACCCCAGCCCAGCCCTGTGTCCTCCTCCTTGGGGCCTTGGCCTCCGGCAGGAATACAAAGAGGGACACTGAGAAAGAACAGTGAGGCAGTAGAGGCTGTGAAGAGAGAAAGACTTTCATCCACACCCCATTTGATTTTCACATCCTCTCCTAGAGTTCTCCAGACAGTGCCCTTTAAAAACATGTGGTCTGTTGAGAATGGAGCAGCCAAAGTTCAGAATCACGTTAAGGGGCATTGTTGAGACAATAGATCCCAGACACCACCTCAGACTAACCCACCTCTCTTCTTCACATCCTTGGTTGCATCTGGAAACCCTTAAACTAACCTTCAGTACTATAGGCTGCTCTGAGTGATTGGCTGGAAATTTATGGCTTGTGGAAAGAACTCTAAAAACTCTAACATGAGACCCATTATCATAGTGTTTGCACCTCTCTAATTGGCAGAAGAAGACAAGTTACAGCAAAGGAAAGCAACTGCTGACTGCTGCACAGGGCAACCACATTCATCTCTCGTGCCCACCTTGTCCAGTCACTCTACAAGCTGAGCACGTATAGTAGTCATGGCACTGTAAGATCATAGAGGCTAGAGTGCTTTTTCATTTAACAGTGCATAGATAATTGGGCACTGATGGAGGAGGAGTGAATTTATTAGTCTTTTTCTTTAAAGCAGATAGCCACAGTATCTTGTCTTAGAAATCATCTATTGGATTATCCCAGTGTTGGGATAATACTATCCTGTATTATCCTCTCAAACTCAAAATACTGTGCATTTTGTAATTAGGAACTAATTTGAAATTCCAAATCCATTTGAAATTATTTCAGTATTTTAACAAGAGAGTTACTATGATTTCTGAGCATTGTCATTTCACAGTATTTTATTACATCCTTGAAAGGGACATGGGCCCGGAAAGTCCATATAACAAATGAAGAATTTTTTTTTAATGATTCAGAGAACAGCAATGTCTAGTGAACAGTCACACAATAGTGGAGATACAATTTACCTAAGATTATCTGAAAATTTTCTCTGAGCTACTTCCCATATACCAACACTGCTGTATCCTTTGTCATGTATGAAGAAGGAACACAAGTTGTTACGTGGGGTGAAGAAAGTGTAGAGGAGGGCGCCTGGGTGGCTCAGTTGGTTAAGTGACTGCCTTCGGCTCAGGTCATGATCCTGGAGTCCCGGGATCGAGTCCCACATCGGGCTTCCTGCTCAGCAGGGAGTCTGCTTCTCCCTCTGACCCTCTTCCCTCTCGTGCTTTCTATCTCTCATTCTCTCTCTCAAATAAATAAATAAAATCTTTAAAAAAAAAAAAAAGAAAGTGTAGAGGAGAAAATTTAGGATTCCAAATATATGAAGGTGTTGCAAGGAAGGATATGACTAGACTTTGAGGGAAATGAAGAGGGGATGAAAAGCTAACACAACATCGCCATAGTCACCTCCTTTCCTGTTCACAAGACTCCCCTTTGACCCAGGCTCAAGGATTAAGTATGGTGCTTGTGAATGCATGAGTTCATTGAGGAGGGGTTCTGACACAAATAGGGAAATGAGCTCCTTTTCAGGGCTCTGGGGCTGGGATGAAATGGAATATGACCAGTGATCGCTCATCTCCTTTTAATTATGTCTGCAGATATAATGAAACAAGATTACACAATGGGGAATTTGATCTGAATGGGTGTGGCAGGGCTGGTCCTGTGGTTCTCTCGACCATACTGGTTGAAAATTGGCACAACCATCAGGCTCCACACAAGGAAAACTGTCCAGATTTTCCTGAACTGAGCTGGAGTAAACAGAAAGGTCAGACATAATGGTCCTTTGGACAAACCCCTAACAGCCAGAAGGTAGACACCTGTTGCTGAAGTAGAAATGAGTCAGCACTTGTGGAGTCCTGCAGAGCTACTGGGAGAACAAAAGAGAGAAAGGGGCACTAACAATTTTGGATCCATTTTCACACCAATGGTATTTTCTTATACATATCTGATACAGTTGTATACCACCTTTCCATATGTTGGTGATAAAATTCTTGGTATAGTCTTGGTTTAGTTCATTCCTGTGATAAAAATCATGCAAAGCATTCTCAGTTCTCATTGCTGACTGTTTTTCTCCCAGTCTCTACAAAAGGTCTGGCTCAAAATTTCAATCTGTCTTGAATTTATCAGCAAAACCAGATACCCTCACATCCTTCTAGGTAAGCTCTTAACACTTAGAATTCCATAAATTATTAATACTACTAATTAATTATTAATGCTGTCCATTCAACATACCATATATTCCATGACATGTATGCTTCTAGTTTTCCCTACACTGACATTTGTGTATTAACACAGGCTTTCCCCATTGCTAAGAAGACTCTCCTGTTCTTATGAAACTAACATTTTTTTCTTTTTATTTATTTGTTTAAAATCAATTAATTAACTTATACTGTATTATTAGTTTCAGAGGTAGAGTTTAGTGATTCATCAGTTGCATATAACACCCAGTGCTGATTATATCAAGTGCCCTCCTTAATGCCCATCACCCAGTTACCCCATCCCCCTATCTCCCCTCCAGGAACCTTCAGTCTGTTTCCTATAGTTAAAAGTCTCTATGGTTTGTCTCCCTCTCTGATTTTGTCTTATTTTATTTTTCCTTCCCTTCCCCTATGTTCATCTGTTTTGTTTCTTAAATTCCACATATGAGTGAAATCATATGATATTTGTCTTTCTCTGACTAACTTATTTTGTTTAGTATAATACCCTCTAGTTCCATCCACATCATTTCAAATGGCAAGATTTCATTCTTTTTAATGGCTGAGTAATATTCCATTTTATATTTGTAACATTTCAAAATATCTCATGCCTCCAATGCAAATTCAATAGACTTGTAAAAACAACCTCAACAAGCATGTCCTCTGGGAATTTTCGATAGACTGCTCAGTCTATTGATCCATCTCTTTGTAGTATTTGGCATAAAATATTAGAAATATTTATTGAGATTATGAATAAATAAGTTGATGAAGGAAATGTTAGTGATTGGACCAGATAAAACTACAAGAAAGTGCCATAGTTTCGGACGAGGGCTAATCAAAGACTTTACATCAGAGCCAGGATTTGGACCCAAGAATGCAATGGGGTTTGATCCTGACAGAGGGAGAAGATTAGTTTCACACACTTGGTTTTGTCCACACCAGGGTCTTGTTTGGAAAAGCAGACTGTAACCCTGGGAATAAAAAGATCTTCCCCTCCTAGGAAAAGACTATATCGTCCTGTAGCCATGATGACAAGGAGCCACCAGAACCGGTTTTTCACCCATCATCAATGACCACTCACCTTAGTGAAAATACCTTGGTGATTCAACCAATCAGCTCCTTGTTTCTAAATGTCAGCCAATCAGAAACAGGTTTACTCCAGTAAGCACATCCGTGAGTGATAGCCAATCAAAAGTCCCCCTCAAATAAGCGGCTTTTACAAATAATGCCAAACCATAAGAGGCCCTGAGAATCCCAAAAATCCTGTCTAGGATCATCTGTAGGCTCTGCTCAGAGACTCAGAGATATCGCGTCTGGCCAGCGCACCAGCATAACTCTCCCTTAATATAGTAAAAACAAATTCCACTCTGCCTTTTTTATTTCAGGCACTGGATGGTGAGTGCTTTGGCCTCGACAGTTCATATATTGGGTTGATTTAGGTTAAGTGTAAGGCTTGGCTTAGGGCAGAGTATGGGGACTTATATTCCATGACCTTCACTTTTATGTTAGGCTTTATTCTAGTCACTTCATTTGCAGGAGCATGCTGCAACCCTGTGAATTTTATTCTATTCAATCCATCTATCATGTGGGCAAAGAGATGCTCACAAATGATATGATTTGATGGGCACCTGCTGGCTCAGTCCATAGAGCATGTGACTCTTGATCTCGGGGTTGTGAGTTTGAGCCCCACACTAAGTATAGAGATTACTTAAAAAAAACTTTAAAAAATGTTATGATTTGAATAATGATGCAAATATATGGATACAGAGTTTCAATTTGGGATGATGAGAAAAATCAGAAACACTGACATCTTCCACAAGAGTGTGATGTTGAATTCCACTTCTGAGCTATGTAGGACCAAAACCACAAATGAATGTAAGATTGCTTACAGCCTGCTGAGACACCTGGGCCCTCCAGAAGAATCAAATGGAAGGCAACACTTTCGCTACAAGTACACACAACAATAAACATTGGAATCCCATAGGTAGGAAAACTCACTGTGAATAACCAGCAATAAAAAATTGCAAACTTCATAAAGAAACAAAGAAACCCCCAAATATTATGGAAGAATTAGCAATACCAAGGGACTTGAGATACAGAACTCTCATATGCCTATGTAAATTATTAAAGTAGTTAGCAGAGAAAAAAGCCACAAGGAAACCGAGGCTAGACCCATTCTCTAAAGTCCAGACCCAACTCCAATTAGGGCCATGCCATGGAGATACTAACCTGATCCTCTGTGGTGCCAGGAGGCTGACTTAAATTCCAGGGAGCTCCCCACAACTTTTAAAACAATTTCACAGGAACATGTTATCAGGCAACCAGCCTCTTGAATAGACTCTCAAACTCTCTAAGTGAGAGGTAGCAGAACGTTCTCACCATACCAAGAGAACTACTTCTCTGTCACTTTATCCCCAAAGGACAACTAGCTCTTTTCTGACACAGGGACCCACTCACCAGGAACCTTACCTTCATGTTATGAATGGACTTTAGGCTGACAATGATGAGTAAATTAAGATGTATTATGGGAGAGAAGTGAGACCAGATCCCTTCTTGGCCCAGAGACATCTTCGTCATCTATAGGCAAGCCTGCCTCATTGTCTCCTCTGAACTAGCAACCACTGCCTCTCTCCCCCATGGTTTGGTATCTAAATGTTTCCATAGGTCAAGTCCACACTTGAAATTTGTTTTAAAAACAAAAAACAAAACAAAACAAAACAAAAAACCCATGGCACATAGCCAGGTTTCTCACAGACATTGGCTGTGCCCACTCTCCAGAAATGAGGTCAACGTAAAAAACTCCAGTGGGTGGTCCTGGGTCCTCGCCTACTACTTTTTTCTGCACCCATCTTTCCTGTAAGTTTCCTAAAAGATGCACACAGGAAGTCAGCTGGAAGAACCCCCGCCCCGCTATATCCTTAGCGAGTCCTAATGGGGAGATCAAGACAGTAGCAATCCAGGGTATGACCCTTTTTACAGGGAGAGCAGAGCTTCTGATTTTAGGTCTAAATCTGCCCAGGAGTAAATGCACAAGCTGTCATCTCAAGAGTGACCATCTCACTTGAGCTTTTCTTCTCCAGGATGGCTTCTGAAAAAGACTTTATAGATACGTGAGAATGATGCCCTCCCTCAAAATGTTTTAAGGCCATTTTGGTGGAGACCATCTAGACAGGTGGCATGGGTGGGTGTTGGCTGGCTGGAGAAGATGGGTGCTGGAATTTGGAGTCAAGGATTGGAGGCAACAGAAAAGAATGGAATAGAAATCCTATCATTTGCAACCACAGGAATGAACCCACAGGGCATTATGCTAAGTGAGATAAGTCAGACACACAAGGACAAACACTACCAATACCACTTATACTAGGACAAAATTGTCCTATATTTTGACTTAAGTGTTGGTTACATGACTATATACATTTATCAAAACTCATATAGAACTGAACAAGAAATGAGTGGGTTTTACTATATGTAAATAAGAAAGTGAATGGAATATATTCAACCACAAAATCAAGAAATAAGAACAATGGTAATAGATTGGGGGAGATTTCCTCATAGAATGTAAGGCAGAATATAAATTGGCATTACATTTCATTTTCCAAAATTATTTAGACTCTTTGAGGAAAAAAACACATTTTGAGTTTTAAAATATATTAAAATATTTAAGATTTTAATATTTAATTTCTGCTTTATAACAGACTAAAGGAATATACTTATGTAAGAAACAGAACATTTTGTTTCAAAAATTGCATTTTTTGAAATGTTGTAACAAATCTTTGGAGAAGATAGCATTATCATTTCATTCTAATGAAACCAATTAACTGACCCAAGCATATGCATACCAAACAAAGAGGAGCCAAGATTAAACACATATTTTTTAATGATTCTAAGGTTTCTGCTCTGTACACTTCTGTATGCCTTTCCTGGGCATAATGTCCACATTTCAAAATTTGGAAGAAGACCCTGAAATGAGTTTCAGGTGGGGCAGACAATTGTCAGAGGATCTGGTTAGACCACAGAGATGACCAGATGTGTCATGGGGACAATGACCAGTCCTTATGCCTCATGGTCAGAGGTAGAAGGAAAACTGTGAACCATCTTGTAAAAAGTCAGTGTGAAAGCCCCATGGTGATTAGTGCTGGGCTTCACCCACCACATCCTGTGCATCTTCCCGGCCTGCTGGACTCAGTCTCCACCCAGCTACTCAACATTCTCCTGGTACAATCAGTACTATGACCTCTACACTCAGTGCCCTGCTCTACCTTGGTGAGTTCTTGCAGGTGAGGGAGACAGAATCCAGGGGTCTGGGTGTGGGGGGCAACATGTCTCACTGTTCTTGTCTTCCAGGGCTGTACCTGAGCCAGACCATCAGCACCCAGAAGCGTGAGTCCCTCCTTCAGAGCCCCAGAGTCTCTCTACTGGGCTCAGACAAAGTATCCACCTAGGAGCCACCAGAGGAGAGAGCAGGGGCTCTGGTTTGCTAGGAGTGCTTGGGACCAGCAACCGGGTGGAAATGTGGGTGGGAAGGGACTTTATCTGGAACTCCAGCCTCTGATTCCCTTCCAGAGATTCTTTCGAAACCCATCATCTGGGCCAAGCCAGATTTCATGATTCCAAAGGGAATGCGAGTGTTGATCTTATGCCAGGGGACTCCTGAGGCCGTTGAATACCAGCTGTATTTTGAGGGACACCTCTCTGCCCAGCAGAGCCCAAAACAACTTGGAAGGAGGAACATAGTCATGTTCCACATCCCAGCCATGACCCTGCTCACTGCAGGGCAATACAAGTGCATTTACCGAAGCAAGGAGCTCTGGTCAAACCCTAGTGACCCTCTGGATCTGGTGATAACAGGTAACTGTCCCATCCTCAGCCTGAATCCTGGGGAGGGTCACCATTTATTTATTAATCTCCTTTGGTGTCATTCAACCTCACTCAACGGTTACCTATGACCTAGAGGCAGATTGGTCTTAGGTCAGGTTCTCCAGGTGAGATGCTCTGAGATGGATGCATGTGTGCAGGGGGGAACACTGGGGAGCATCTTCAAAAGTGACCCCAGCGATGAGGAGTGAGGGAAACAGGCCAGGCAAAAGGCAGAAGCTAGACCATGGTGCAGTTTCCACAGACACCTCAGCCAAGCAAATGTGGAACTCTGGACCTGGGATGGCCATTCTGAGTGGTCTTGAGATGAGGCTAGGGGTTCTGTACCCACCAGTGTCAACCCCTTCTAGGGAGGAGGTTCCATTCAAACATCCGGACTCTTATGGCACTTGTATTCTAGCAGGGGAAGACAGACCACGAGTATAAGTCAGGACAAATCAATCATGAGCACCTAAGGAGTAAATGATGATATGGAAAAAGACAGAGTAGAAAGGGGTTGGGAGGGAAGGCAGTCTCAGGCTCGTTCAGCTGAGGAATGTGGTTTTCAAACTTAAGCAGGTATCAGAATCACCTGGAGGGCTCGTGAAAACACAGATGGCCCTTGTACACCCATGTTCACGGAAGCGCTATTCACAGTAGCCAAAAGGTAGCAACAGGCTCAGTGTCTACTGACAAAGTAATGGATGAACAAAATGTGATCGATACACATGATGCAATATTATTCGGCCTTGAAAAGGAAGGAGTTTCGGACACCTGCTACGTCATGGACGGACCTTGAGGGCATTATGCTGAGTGAGATAAACCAGTCACAGAAGGACAAATACTGTAGGAGTCACTTCTGTGTGGGAGCTAGGATGGTCAGATTCATAGAGACAGAAAGCAGAATTGTGGGTGCCAGGGGCTGGGGGGCAGGGATGGGGAGAGGGTGCTTAATAATGGGGACAGTTTCAGTTCTGCAAGATGAAAAGTGTTCTGGAGATGGATGGTGGTGATGGTTGCATGACAATGTGAATGTACTCAATGCTACTGAATTGTACCCATAAAATTGGTTAAGATGGTAAATTTTATGTGTAATGTATTTCATAACAATGTAAAACAAAAATAATTTTTAAAACACATTTGGCTTCCTTACCCCTGAGTTTCTGATGCAGTGGGTCTGGGGTGGAGCCTGGAAATCGGCATTTCTGATAAGCTTCCCGCTGATGCTGATGTCGCTGGTCCCAAGGATCTCTAACTCTGAGAACCACTGATGTTAGGCAATTCCCAGAGAGAGAGTCATGCTAATGCCCCTGAAAGTTAGAGGAGTGAGTGTCTCAATCTTGAAGGGAGAGATCAGGGAGGGCATGTCCATGACCAAAGCAGAGCAGACAGAGATTCTTGGGTGTGACATCCCAGTCTTAAGGCCAAGAAGGAAGGGAGACATAGGAGGCAGGATAAAGACTCTCTTAACCTTCCTGTCTCCTTCTCCCACAGAAATGTATGACACACCCACCCTCTCCGTTCATCCTGGGCCTGAGGTGACCTCAGGAAAGAACGTGACCTTCTATTGCCAACTAGGCACTGCAACAAACAAGTTCTTTCTGCTCAAGGAGGGAAGATCTGGCCGCCCTCAACACAGATATGGGAACACCCAGGTGGAGTTCCCCATGGGTCCTGTGACCACAGCCCACAGAGGGACGTACAGATGTTTTGGCTCTTATAACAACCATGCATGGTCTTTCCCCAGTGAGCCTGTGAAGCTCCTGGTCACAGGTGAGGATAACCGTATTTCCCCCATGTCCTCTGCGGAACCCCAAGTGAACCCCAACCAGTGATGAGGAAGGCAGCAAAGGGACAGGGGGGAAGATGCAGAGGGCACCTCCCTGCAGTGCCCTCATCCACATACATTTTTGCAGAGGCCCAGTTGATTTTTCCTGAGGAAGAAGGCCAGAGGGACAGAGAGAGGGAGGACACAGAGACTAGGTGGGAAGACCAGAGGAAACCCAAAACCCTTACGGTCTTCTTTGTTTCCACTGCCAGAAGATGTTGGGGACACCAGCCTTGCACCCACAGAACACAACTCTTTTTCTGGTGAGTAACAGTTACTTCTAAACTTGGGTGGGGGGTGATCAGAGCCTCCCAGTGACACTAAAAACATGTCGTTCATTCGAAATATCCATTGACTGTCTGGCATTTGCCATGACCTGCAGTTCCCTCAGGGGAGCAAATACCCTTGCTTTTGCGGCACTTGTATCCCAGCGGGAGACAGACCATGAGTCAAAGCCAGAGAAATAAGGCAGGCATTTAGCACAGGGGGAGCAAACAGTGGTGGAAGAAAGAACAAACAAGGTGAGGGTGACCTGGAGGGCAGGTGGCAATATTAGAGCTGTCTGAATCAGCCTCACAGCGGAGCAACTACCTAAAGAACTAAGGGCGTTCGTTCTATGGCTACATGGGAAAGAAGGTTCCAGAGAGAGGGAGT